CCACTCTATCCTAAGATATTACTGATGGAAAAAAATACTATCCTAAGATATTTATAAAGGTATAAAAAAATTGGGCCCTTTTGTTTGTATGTTTGTAATTAATGAAATATAATTTTATATCAATAAAAAATATTATCTTTTAACTATGAATGATTATTCTATGTATACACACATAGTTTACTAATCTACTCCCTCCATTTTTTTATAATCCTTTTTGACACTATTTTTTTAATTCTTTTTTCATTGTTACTTTTCTAAAATCAATGACTTTTTTTTTTCATTTTTACCCTTGATAATTAATATGTATTTACTGAATAATGTGTTTATTCATTTTTAATGTATTTATTTCTTCTCCAACCACCTAAAGGGTATAACAAGAAAATAAGTAATAAATACTTTAAAAAACTAAATTATCAATCATTTTCTTAATTCTTGTACATAAACCTTAAACTTAAAAAAAAACGGAGGGAGTAATGAAGATTAATCACCACTAAACTTAGCCAAACATGAATGGATTAGTCCATTATTGTCAGTATTAGACAATATGCAATATAATTCACACTAAGGGCAATACAAATTGATGAATGATAAATTTTTTGGTTCTTGAATAGCCTAAATGGAGAATGAATCATCTGAATTGCATTTTGCACATGAATCAAAGAAAGCCACCAATAAATAATAATTAATGGAAAAAGAGGGAATGAATTGATCATTTCCCTTTAGTCAGACCCTGTGTGACTGATTCTCCTTATACCATCTTTTACATATTTCTTCTTTGCCCTTCTAACTCTCGGTCTGACCCACCGTGCTTTGTGTCTCTCACTTTCTATTTTGCCTTTCTTCTTTGTTTGTCACCACATTTCAAGTTTGGTGGTCACTTAATTAACCATTTGATTTCAACATGCTTATATATTCACGTTTTGACTTTAGATATGTTTCTTTATGTTAAAATGATTCTAGATTTATGATTTTGTTATTGATCATGAATTTGTACTTTCATGTCTTTACTGGTTATATGTGCTATGTTCTATTGTTGATCACAAATGTTACAACTCACAATATGGTTCCATTTGTGTTTGAAAAATAAGGATTCAATTTCACAGTTTGGATCTCAATTCAACTACCATGGATAGGTCCCTTAAGATCTTGCATCCATGTTGCAAGCTTGCGTGAGCTTTTTGACAATTTGAGGGTGCTTGTGAAAAACACATATTTAAGAACCAAGAATTTGTGAAATAAGTTCCAATCTGAAGGAGCATACTAAGAGATGTTTAGGAAATCAAATTTGTGAACTTAGTTCCTATCTGAAGTAGCAGAATAAGAGCATGTCTGGGAAAACGTTTCATGCTTCTTAGACAGCAGTTCACTCATTCCCAAGTATCAAATAGGGAAGGAAAATTTGGAGTTTTCACGTTGAACGGCCGTTTGGCCTGTTTCAACGGTTTTCCAAATACACTATAAGTGGTAGATGTACTAGTAAAAGCATAACACGTGCAGTAAATTGCCAAAAAGCTAGCTTACAGTTACCCATATCTAAAAGATTATATTATAATTAAACTAAACCAACACAGTCCAATGAAAAAAAAAACTCAATCACATCACATAAAGTTAAGTAGTAAAAAATTAAAAATGTTCTTACAGCTCCATGATTCTATCATAAGCAACATTTTAATATTCATATATTCTCCTCATCTTTCTCCAATGAAAGAACTTACCTCACATCTTCCCTATCTTATTGAATCATATTCAAGCTTCTCCCCCAAAGTGAAAAGCTTCTTTCAAAGCACCATTTTCAGAGTAAGAAAAGAAACACAGTATAAGACAGATAAGTTTCTTTCTGATCAAACCTGTTGATCCTTAGTATATTCTCAGCCGCACTTATCCTTCTCAAGTGACCATCTTGAAGCTGTCATTCGATATATTTCCCTACTAAATGTCGGAAACAATCGTTCGATCACTCAAACTTTGCCTTCACTTGACATTCTAGTAACATGGAACAAATGAAACATGAACTAGATATTTTTTAAATTACACAATGGTTGAAAGAGTTTTGACATGATATCTTCTTCCTTATCTCTCCTTTATATATAAACCCCAATTACCCAAAACATTAAGATATTTCAAGCAACAAACGAAACCTAAAAACTGAGATTTATGAGAACTTATATCTAAAAGATCCTTGCCAGTGAATACTCAAAATTCATGGATATATATATATATATATATAT